GACTGTTTGTTTCTCAGTCTTCAAAGTGCTCCCCAGCTCTGCAAAACAAAGGCTGCCTAAAAATCCTCCTCACCTGCAGCTGGCCACAAAGCCAACTTTCACTTTTGAATATCTAATCTAGAGCTTATTAGCCTGATTTTGGAGGACTCTAACATGTTCTAAGACAACCCTTTGAGAAAGCCTGGGAATTCAAGGCACTGCCTGGCTTTTGCAATTAGCTGGGGCACCTGAGCTCAAAGTCCTGTAACAAGAGGGAGGCTGGGGTTGTACCAAACACCCTGTTCATGTGGAGAAAACTCAAGTGCTCCCACATGATTTTTCCAGAGGATATATAGCAGGGCAGGGTGATGGAAGTGAGGGCAAAGGTTTTCTGTGATTTTATCTGATCACATTTAAAACTCTGATACCTTTAACAATGAATCTGAAAAGAAATACAGAATCATAGAATAACAGAATCCCAGCCTGGTTTGGGTTGGAAGCGACATTAAAGCTCCTCCAGCTCCAACCCCTGCCACGGGCAGGGACACCTTCCACTAGAGCAGGTTGCTCCAAGCCCCTGTGTCCAACCTGGCCTTGAACACTGCCAGGGATGGGGCAGCCACAGCTTCTCTGGGCACCCTGTGCCAGCGCCTCAGCACCCTCACAGTAAACCTCTTCCTTCTACCTAACCTAAATTTACTCTCTTTCAGTTTAAAGCCATTCCCCCTTGGACCAAAATCCCTAAAGGGATAATATTACTCAAGCTTTCCAGCCATCCTATTAAGAACTACGTGGGACCCACGCCCTGGACACAGGCATAGGTTGCTCCTGTCTGCCTCACGAACCTTTGCTGACGGCTCCACAGATCCGCAGGCAGTGGCACTCTTCCCACCGAGGAGAAGGTGTGGCAAACGTTAGAAGTTCTCTGTGCTGCACAGCAACTGAAATTTCAGAACGATGCATCACAGCACTCGTCTGAGAACAAATATATTTAGTTGGCATGGAAACAGTAAGTTAGGCTGAGTGTGGTAAATATCCAGCAGTCATAAAAAATTGAGCAAGTCAGAATAATAAACATTAAGCACACAAACTCGCCGAATGCTTTTGAATCACAGCTCTTTTACAATTATCACTCCTGTTTTCATTTGAACATGAGTGAAATCCACTTAACAAACTAAGCCTCTCTGTTTTATTCCAAACAGTTCTACAACATCCTTATGCAGATAACTCCTTTCTCCCTTTTTTACAAGGGAGATAACTCGCTTATATTCTGATAACTCCCTTTCTCTCTATTTGAGAAAAAAAAAAAGAGAAATTAAAGGGTTGGAAATCCACATTGGTATTCTCCTTCATTTCCTCAGTAATATTCATGAATTGAACATAATTGATTTTCTGTCTTCAGAGAATCTCTCTCCTTTAAGACTCTATTTGTGACTTGACTGCTCGGAGGAGTATTCCTATGGTCTGAGTATCTACGGTGTTGCTACTTCAGTTGTTTGTGAACACGAGGAAGTCTCTTCCCCTCTGTTAATCCCAATTAGAAATTTTACATCATCCTCAATCCGTCTCTATAGTTAAAAGCATTAGAACAAAGAAGGAAAAGAATAGGGTCTTCTTCCGAAAAACTTCTTGTGTGTAATTCTCAAATGAGAGATTCCTGGAGCTTCCCAGTGTACAGAGTTGGGGTGATTATCCTTACAAAAGGAATTTGAAATGAGATGAGGTACTCTAAAGAAATCTAGGTAATAAAGCAAGAGGATCACTACCATTAATGTTTACAGAGGCCCCAATTCAGCAGAATTTGTTGCACATGCCTCAATCCCTGGATTCATTAGGCACACGCTTAAGCGCTCAGTGATGTGCGTCATTTTTAATTGCACATTCACAGGATGTACATTCTGCTGTAGGAACACTGTAGATCTTTTACCTATGACTGACAACTGCACAAAGCCACATGACTCAAAAAGAGAAGTGTTTTTAGTACAACAAGAGAACTTTCAAACAGAAATCTTGTCTTATGTTTGATCTAGGCATGTACCAGAGCTGACCAAGTGATACAATACAAGAGTGTAACGATACAGGAACATAACCTAAATGGGATTAGCTGATGGGAAGGTGCTTCCCAGAGTTACAGAGTACTGAGATACAAGAAACTTCAAGAATTGCTTTGCAGGGAAAAGGTTTGGACACACCCAAACTTCCTAAGAACCTTCCCAGACTGCTTTAACTGTCATGGGGCTATGTATATAAAAACCCTATATATAAACTCCTGTATATTAAGCGTGAGTTACACTGAATTTACTGCTAGTTTGCCACTTTCCATGAATGCAATTCCATATGTCTCAAGAAGGTGGACATTTAATTTTTGAAGGAAAGATCCAGCATTTTGACATGAAGAAAGCTAATGTAATTCTGAGACTCCTATCTAGAAGTGCAGCGTTACTGAACACACAGACCGCTGTCCTAGACACTTAGCAGAGACAGGATAACCTTTATGGAAAAGATAACATTATTTAAGGTTAGTCAAAGTGGGAGACGTTCCCAGGCACTTTTGACAAACATAGGTCCATCTGGATTGGGACTTATCATTCAGATGCAGTTGCCAGACTGCATCACTGATGAAACAACACAGATCTAACATGATTGCATCTACTCACACTGGAAAGAGGACCGAGAAAGTAAACAGGAGTAAACACAAGTTCATACAAGAACATGAAGTATTGGAATGAAAAGGCTCCATAAAAACAACAGCGCCACACTCGCCTCTAGACAGCTCAGGGCTTGCCATCAGACTCCTTCTACCATACTTCTCCCCTCTTCTTTACAGCACAGTTTGTCTCTCCGGATAATTATAATAAAGAAAGGTTAACTCTGTGCAATCACTAGAGGGTTATTGTAGCAAAGAGTTAAGCATCATGGATCTGTCAGTCACTGTTTGAGACTCAAAAGTTATAAGGACATTGCACTGAAAACAAGACAAACATGGAGCACTAAGATACCACCCAACAAGCCATAACGAGAAACAGCTTCTTACTTTTAATTAAAAGCACAACAAAATGTTTTTTCATGTCTCATTCATTTGTTTGTTGTTGTTACAGAATCAAAACACAAGATTTTTCCTTTTAATGAAAAACAGAAACTGTTTAACCCTCTCTACTCCCTATTTATAGACATGGAATAGCTCAGAGAAGTGGCCTTTGTAAGAGCCCCAGCACAGATTTTGATGTTTCATGCAATTCTGATTTAGACAATATTTGGTAGAAGCAGAGAGCAAGTTCTCAGTCACAGTCTTAAGTATTTCAACTCCCTGATGGGCTGACAAGTCGTTAGCTACTGTTAATACTTGATGAACATGTTTACAGGTAGCCTGGCCAAGACATAACAACTGGAAATATGTCAGAGCTGTCATTTTTCCGTTTTTCTTCTGCAGAGATAAGCATAACTAATGAATGAACCAGGCCCAGAGAAGACACACAAACAAATTGCAGCATATTTGTCTGCAAATAGACCAAAGCCCCCTAAACAAAAACACCCTCAATGACTCCAGCTTTGGAAAGCCCCAGTAGAGGAATGGCAGAGACGACTGTCGACAGACACAGATACGAGCATTACCAGAAGCCTGCTAAATAGCCACCTTGCAGGAAAAGCTCTATGCTGGACGGTCATTTAAATAACATTTCTGTTCTATTTATACTGGGGAATGGACCAGCTGAGCCAGTCCTTCGCTAACTTAGTGTGGACTTAGTTTAGGGTAGTCCTGTGGGTTGGTCTGGACCAGGTGCTGTAAAACCTTCAAGGCAGAAAGCAGGAACCATCATGCATGTCCAACCTTCTACCTTTGTATTTTCCAACCTTCTACCTTTGTATTTCACAAGTCATTTTTTGTTTCTTCCTCTGGATACTTTCTCAAAATGGGTCAGAAGAAGCAGCAAAATGGCAGTAGCAAAGATGAAAGAAAACAAGAGATTTGGAAGAGGACTCTCCTAGCGTGCAGGCCAGGGCTGCTCCCTGGGAGGGACGACCATGCAGCAGATAGCTAATTTTCCTTCTTCTTTTCCAGGAGATTCTTTGAAGCCAAATGCAATGCCTGTGGGCCAACTCACTCATTACACCAAATTCCTTCAGTCCTGCAAGCACTGCAGCTAAGGGTGAACCTGGCCCAACATCTGGATTTGGGAGGCGGAGGGGGAGGAGAGCAGGATCACCAACCCTCCAGAGAGGAAATACATCAACATTAACACCAAGGGTGAATGAGGGTCCCCATGTGCAAGTGGAATGACAGCAACTGGGGAAAACACATTTGAAATTAATGACTATTACTCTTGTACAACCACCCCAACTTACTATTTCTGCAGGTCTAGATTTAGAAATGCTTTATATAGGATATAAATTATGGATACTGTTTACTCAGCACCAGGTAAAGATCTCAAATGCTGCAGAAACTGACATATCAGAAATCTGTAAATTCATATGTGATTCAGGTATCCACCACCTGTATAGTTTCCTAAATACTTCAAATCAGTGTTTTGAATGCAGATCATTGCTGTTCAATTTCAACACTAGTCTGTAAACTACATACACTATTTTGCTTAAAGCACACTAAATCTCTGATTTCACTCAAAGCATCCAGAATAATTTTAGTACTATTAATCATATGGAACTGTTTACAGACAACATGCTGAGACAATGAGTGCATAAGATCAGGAATAAAGATTATTCTAGCTCAGTTATCATCCAATTATAATTCTCTTCATACAAGCCATTAAGCAACAGGTTAGGATACTCTCAGAAACCTCTATTAAAACAGTACAGACAGTTCAAAATAAATGCATCGTTTAACATCTAGAATAGTTGAAATACCAACTTGAAACAGAGAGCATAAGTATTTGCCTGTAGGGTTCAGACAGTTTAATTCTGTTTTATTATAAAAACACCCGTGCTTTTGCTTTGAAGCAAGATACTGTTTTTAAACACTGATCTCCTTGCCCAAGGGAAGAGGATGGGGGGACAGCACCAGGTACCTGCTCATGGGTCTCCAGCTCCCTGCGTTGCAGCTTCTTCTCTGCAGCCCGTGCCAGACTGTGGTAACTTTCCACTTCATTTTGTAAGGCCTGAAACAATACCAAAGGATGCAGAACACACGTGAGAAACATGGGATGGCAGAAAAACTTGTAGGTAATGTCTTTCAAAGATTAAGAAAACAGTGCGGTATCAGTACAGCTCTTCAGCTGCTACTGCTTCCAGCCATATGTGATAGCTGCTGAGATGTGACAGACCCAGTCTGGCTACCCTTATTGAATAAAGCTATTCTGCACAAGTAGGACCACTGAACAGGAGTACTGAAATCTTGGTAGTTCTATGTCATTATAGGCTACAAGTACTCATACTAAAAATGCAATAAATACCTTGAAAGGGAAATGGAAATGTTGCAATTGCAAATGCCTGAGTTTTGTTATCATCTTATTTGTACAACCCAGGCTTCCTAGGAACAATTTTGCAGTGTACCAATAACTTTTCCTTTAAGCCAGAAGAATAATCCTCTCTCTGGAAAACCATGTCTGGAATTTGCAGTGAAAATGTATTCCATATTATTGAAACGGGATGTTTGTGGGATGAGAGGCTCCCCTCCCGCTCATAGTAAAGTTGAGCATGTGATCTACAAATGAAGTATAAATGGCAATAAATAAAAGGAATATTATGATCATGTCACTTTACCACAACTATCCAGTCTTTATTTAGTTCAGAAATAATCACTTCTAAAACCAAGCTCATAAAATGCACTGACAAATTTATTTTGTCATTATTGTTCTTCTTATATATTTATTTTTATTACGGCAGGCCCTCAGAGCCTTGATCTTTTTGTTATACCCTTAACAAAAGAACAGTCATGCCCCAAGGAACTGATAGTCTATGTTATTTCTAACAGATAGACACCAAACAAACAATACAAAGTTTCAAAGATTTTTTTTTTTCAAGTTTCCTAGTCATTGTTCATGTTTGAATACACACTTAACATTTACTTACACATTTACTAAAAGCTTAGCTCTGTTGTCAGCGTGAATAAAGGCATTGTTAACTGCAAGTGCTGACTCGAAGCAAAGTGCACAATGTGGATGTTAGATTGACATCGACACAGAGGCGGCTGTGGCAGCAGAAAGGGAGTATTTTGAGTTATCTTTTGTATGCCAGGAAACCAGGGCACTGCTACCCATCAGCTGGAAAGCGTGGTGCGGGGCAGGACGGGACCTGGGAAGGGACTCGCGCTGGAGATATGTTATGAATGATGTTGAAGGTGCCTCCAGTGTTGCCTTTTGAAAAGCTGAGCTGCACTGAGACTTTCTGCAGAGCACCCTCGAAAGGAGCCCAGTGAGCCCATGAACTCAGCGCACTTCACAGAACACGCAATACTGTTAGCATTTGCTTCCTCCAAGAAGAATACCCATACATAAACCAGGATCATTAAAAGTACTCACAGTGCAAAGTTTTAACAGAGAAAAACCCCTTTGCTCTTTTCCACAGCACTGAAATACTGTACTCTCAAATAATTTACAGGATAAAATTGCTATTGAGATAAGATAAGAGGACTACTTATGATAGATCTTGCACATTGTTTTGAAGTGATGCCAGGCATTAACTTTAAAGTCTTATAGCTATAAGACTATTACATGTTCTCATGCCAAAAAATGTAACCAGACCCAAACATGAACTTCAAATCTGCCCAGGGACTTTCATGCTATCACTGCTTCTGAGAAATGTTGAAATCCAGGCTTTGAATATGTAACCAGTCTTCAATAGTCAACAACTCTTGAAGCACTAGGAATTTGCATTAATATAATGAAATATATGTGAGAATTGTAGGCTTTTTGTTTTCTATTTGTACATCTAATTTTGTAAAGCTCAAACAAGCATGCTTTGATTTAAAACCTAAAACGATCAGGTCATGCAATGTAGGAATGTAACACAGATCAGGGATGTTCCATGTATCACAGAGAACCCCAAAGACCCAACTAATTTGACAAAAGTCCTGCCATAACTCCAGACATAATGAGTACTGGATGACTCTCAGGAACATTCAGAGAGCACGTTTTGGATGAACTGCAACGTGTGACCTGTCTTCTCCTGCTGTTTCCACATGATCAGTCCAAATACCTTGGCATGGTGAAAAATAAGGAGGGAGGAAACCTCACTACACATCAGTCGTCCTACTCGGACTCTCAACTTGTGCTCAAAGGCAAGTTTCGCTACTTCACAGGACTTGGAAGATGATCAAGAGGTAGCACATATATGTACGAATGCCTATGTGTGTATGCATGTACAAATTCGTCTCAGAGAACAGATGTATGTCATGCTCCACCACACAAACCTGTAAGTACTGAATACAAAACAATGTCTCCATTTTACTTTCCTTATTTATAACAGAAAAACGTATATTCCAGAGCATAAAATGAGAGGTTCCTTTCAATCTGGTTTGCCAGCATGGAATGCACGTTTTTTGTTTCATTATGAGAGCAATGATTTTAACAAGTACAATTTAGAAATAAGCTACTTTTACTGCAGCATGTAAGTGCAGCAAACTATCAAGTCCATTCACTGATCGTCCAAACCAGAATACACTGAATGAGTTTACAGACTTTTCCAATCACATCCTAACTGGCTGTTGGTAGATTTTGTATTGGGATGGCAGAAAAAAAGATTAACTCCCCTGATCACTCATGGATCCCTCTCACTTGACCATTTTTGGCCTGTTGCTGTGTGCATACCAGCTCTCCTACCGGTCACTTTGTAGAATCTAGTTTTGTGTATAAAGGATGTTCCATGAGTAATTAATGTTCATTTGGGTATTTCAGCTTTCCTGTGAGTACAAGGACAAAAGAGTAAAAGATCAGGACTTGACCAAATCCACGCCGAAAGAAAAAGTAACATCAAAATCTCATGGTTGCTGCAGATTCCTGCATACGATTAGCTCTGAAAATAGTAAGTAGAAATAAGCAAGTTTGTTGTCCATGATTTTAACTTCCTAGGAGGAATCACGAGGAATGTCATGAATAAAGAGCTCTTCTGAAGATCGCACCGAAATTTCTCTCTACTGTCAAAAAGCTTCATATGCAGTGGTCAGAGCCTGAGCACTGATAGCTGCTTCCGAAACTATCCGCTACCCTCAAATCTTTTTCTGTATCTAACAGAGCAGCTTTTGTCACATAGAATACTCTAAAAGCAGCAGATGACTTATCCCAGGTACACGCAGCACATGCCTTTTGTAAAATTAATGGGTTTGGTTTTGTTTAGAAATGCAGTTTTTATTTTACAGCTTCAAAGTGTCAGATTTTGCCCAAAGAAAACCGAATTTCTCTTTAAGAGCTGTAGAGATGAAGAAAAAGGCCTTAAAAATATAAAAAAACCAGGACAGTTTTTCAGTGGTGGAAGCTTTTTTCCCTTGAACGGAAAACAAAGCCTAACTGCTTTAGTTAAATTTTTCCAGGTACAGATTTAATCCCCGTCCCTTGGCTTTGCTGAGCTGACTTGCATCACTGTTATAGAGACAGTATTTTTCAGTTAAACTGGCTTCCAAATGCCATGTAAACATGTTTGCTGCTGAATGTCTACACCATACCTGACCTTGGAAGTGCTTTGTGTTGGCCCGAGAACAAAGAAATGAAATGTTTTGCTTTCCAGCCCAGATATCCTACACTTTGAAAAGCACTTAAAAATGTAAATGAGATAATAAGCTCGACTGCAACAATGTGGGTGAATTACAGCCATATAAAAGGAACATTCAGTTCATTTATTTATAAAAAAGGAAAGGATCCTAAAATAAATTCATATTGTAAATGGTTTGGTCGCATACAACAGTGAGAGGCAAGAGAAGGACGGGAAGAGAAAAGTAATGGCTTTGAGAATACACCACTGAAATATGGTCAGATTTTGGGACCTCAAGTGGAGCTGGTGGATGAGCCCATCACTGTCACCATGATACAGGAAACGTTTGGGTACCGGCTGATATGAAAGGAGAAAGGAACATCCGAACCACATTTCTGGGTAGGCACTTCTTTTTTTCCTATTATAGTGTGGATTGATTATCACCAGCAAAATGCTGAATGAAGTTTATTTCAGTCCCAACTCTGCTCATGGTAACTCGGAGAATTCTCGGAGACAAGAGAGCTGCACATGGGGAGCTAGCGCGGGGTTCGGCCTGGGCGGCTCGCAGAGAGGATGGGCTGATGCACGAGACCAGAGGAATTCAGCCTGACTCGTGGGTGCCAGACTGAGGCTGCAAAAGAGGGGTTTTTAAAAACAAAACCTCTTGTAAAGCATATAGTTTTGAGAAGGAACCACAGAGACACAAAGGTACGATGCCAGCATCACGCGTTCCTTTTTCAAGGCAGGAATAAGTTTTTGGCATTAGTTACAGGGCTCTAATCTAAATCAACTAAAAGCTGGTAGGGAAAAGAGTTCTAGGAATCACATGAGCAAGCATGATATGGGAATGTATGAAGGATTTATTCTTTAATATATGAAAACTGACTTGATTATCCTTCAACCACAGAGTATTTTAAAAAAGTAGTGTTGGATTTCCTGAAGTAAACTGAATTTCTGGGAGAACTGCATAAACAGAAATCATTATTATTTTTCATGGATGATTACTATGGAAATACTGTATTTACAAAGGTGGGACGTTCTGCTTCTTCAACCTGAAATAATTTCCTACTTTTGGTGTGTTCCTGAGAGCAGCTGGGCCTTGATTCCTGCTCCCATCAGACCAATGGCAAGTTTGAGATCACAATGATTTGTCTCCCAAATACCAAGCATTTGATAAATAAGTGACAATTAGAAAGAGAGGAAAATCATCTAAAAAATGTTAAATACTAATGTATTTTCAAACAAAAAGTGTCAGCAGGGAAGTCACTGCTCATCCTGATCAAATTATGCCAGATAATGGCAGTCTTTTTTGATACACATATGTAATTCTTACTAGCTGTACCAGAATACAGCTGGTATTCTGTATCAAGAAAAGACCTCAGTATTTATGACCAGTGCAGAGCAATACTATAACTAAAGGTAGTAATAGTTGGCACTTTTCATCTTCAAAGAATTTTTCAAACGTTACCAAATT